AAGACGATTCGATTCAGATTATTTCCGCTGTGGCATAAAACATTTGAAAACTGTTTTTTTGCAAAAAGTTTTATTTTTAAATATGTGATCTATTCACCCCCTCTAGATCGAAGTCTATCGTCTAACATATATTTGTTTATCTTGTAGGTGCTGTCCATAACTAACACAATAGGAAAAATATTTTACAACTTAAGTAAATCTGGATAGGCCCAAAATATATCTCTCACAACTTCCGAGTCATCTCTTTTTTTACTCCAATAAACATAATTTGCATCCTCTATAAGCTTAAACAAATGTTATATCTCACTTCTAGGACCTCTTATCTCTTTTTCTATCACACTCTTATGCTAATATATTTGTGTGATCCAAGTGACATTCTCTGGATCTCGCTCTTGAAAGGAAAGCAATATGTGTCTAAGTGGAACATGTCTCTTTGTCAAATCAACAACTTGTTGTTTCTTATCTATAGTCAACATACCAACAAAGAAATGAACTTCTAATATATTAGGTAAACCATAGTTTTGAACTCCAAATTTTACATCAACCATCCATCCAGATCCATCTTTCATTGGAGTCGACCTGATTTTAAATGGACATTCATATTTTTTTTGTTGCACTTTGTGTTCCACTATCAGCATCCTTGTATTTCCCACCTTTATCACAACCAGTGGCGGAGCCAGAAAGTTTTTGAAGCCTGGGCAAAAATTTAAAGACAATAAATTCATATTGTATATATAAATAGTTAATAATCAAAATAATTTTTTTTTTTAATTTAATTGATTTCGGCAGAATTTTAAAACTAATATAGCCATATCCAATTTGAGGCTGATACTAACATGGAATATCATTTCATGTGATTCATAATAATTCTTGAAATTAGCAACAAGTTAACAACATAATTTTATTTACTAACTACTGTAACTACAAACTAAATTTAAAATACAAATTCCTAGTTAACATCAATTGAACCATATAATTTAGAGTGAACATAAATTGAAGAATTGAACCTAATATATTTTTTTATATTATTTGAGGATAAAATTTATTCTTTTCTTCTTCTTTTTTACAACACTATACATGTGTTTTTTTTTTATAATTTTAGTAGCTGCTACTTTTATGTTAAATTTTATTTTTTCAAGTATTCATTTTTTGCTTTTAGTTAATTTGGTCATAGATAGCAACTTTATTTTAATTTTGCACTTTTTGTAATGTAGTTGAATCTAAATATTATCATATAAAAAAGTTAATATAATGTATGCTTAATTGCATAAAAAAGGAAAAAGAAAATATGTTTTATTTGTGAAAAATGTTTAAATTACGGCGGGTTAAAACTGCCATTATCAATGACAAAAAACCGTCTTTTTATTTAATATATATTAAGACATGAGAAATTTTATTCAAAAGTACTATTTTTCTGCATTTTCGTTAATTGTGCAGGTTTTAACCGCCGTAATAGCACTTATTAACCGCCACAATTTTCATATTCTTTTATAAAAGAAGGCAAAATTTTGGGGCCAAGCTCGGACACATGCCCAGCCTTGCCGGGCCTTAAAACCGCCCATGATCACAACCAAATATTAATTTTTTACTTCTCCTTGTCTTACCTGTTACAGTATCTGAACGAGTGATAATAAAATTTACTTTATTTCGGATTTCAACTTCTTTAATCCACCTTATCACCTTTTTCTGTGTACCAAATCTTTGAGAAGTTGAAAAAACATCAGAAGTATCTACATATATTTGATTTTGTTGGCATATTTGTGTTGTAATTTCCATAACTACAACATAAAAAAAATGTAACAAAAAATTAACAAAGCAAACCTGACATTTTTATAAAAGAGTTCCAGTATACAAAATACATAAACTGTATATCTTTTCTCCAAGTGTTTCGGTGCACATAAGTATATTAATCAGAACACATTTAAAAAGTGTTTCGGTACAATATATTTTTTCAGACAATCTGAAACTCTTTTAACAAGTCTTCCGAAACTAATTTTGGTATAAACCAGATATCTTTTAAAGTTATACAATAAGGAAAAAAATATATCGAAACTCATTTTCAAAGTCTTCTGGTGCGAATGTAAATGAGTATAATTTTCGAAAGTCTCACATGAATGATAAAAAGTGAAATGGTAAATTAGTTAAAAATATGCAAGAGTAAAATTATCATTTTAAAGAAATTATAGAGGCATCTACTATCTCTCTATAACAATTCAATTGCGTGAACCTCCAAAATTGCTCTTTCATCACAAATCATTTACACTTAAAAAAAATAAATTTAGCAATCAATTTGAAATAGCAACATTTCTATAATTTATTTTTAGTATTTTAAATTCAATATAATGACCCTTGGAGGTGTTGAATTCATGACCATCTAGTAACAACTCCTTACCACTTGACTACACATTTCTTTTGTTTATTAATTTGCATCAAAATTATGCACGTTTCTTAAGAGTATACTTATATATGTTAGTTAGCATTTAAATACTATATGTTAGTTAGTTGTATAATTATATATGTTAGTTAGTATTACTATTTACAGTATAATTATTTAGCATTTAAATATTAATAAATATTAATTATATATTATTATTTACAGTATAATTATATATTATTATTATTATAAATTATTTAGCATTTTAACAAATATTAGTATTTTAATTAATATTTACAGTATAATTATATATTACTATTTATATATAGTAAAATATTTTTAGTAAATTGTTTATCATTTAAATATTAATAATAAACTATTTAGTATTATAATACTAAAATATTTACAGTAATAAACAGAAATTAATTGTTAATAAATTATTAATCTAAAATTATTATTAATATAAATTAATAAATTGAAATTATTAATTAATAATAAATTTAAATCATTAATTAATAAACTGAAATTTATTAATTAAAAATAAACTGAAATTAATTAATATAAATTAATAAATAAAATTATAAAAATGAAATAATAAAAATGAAATAATAAATTGAAATTAAATAATAATAATAAATTAATTGAAATTAAATGATAAAAATGAATATAATTTCAGTTTTAGTAAAATTATTATTTAATTGATTAATTTATTAATAATAATTTCAGTTTATTATTAAAAATTTAAGTTTATTAATTTATATTAATAATTTTATTTCATTATTAATAATTTGAGTTTAATAATTTATTTATTATAATTTTAGTTTATTAATTTACATTAATAATTTCAGTTTAAAAATTTAATAATTTTTAATAATTAAGTAATTTCAATTTATTATTAATAATTAGTTTCTGTTTATTATTAATATTTAATTTATTAATAATAATTTAAGTTTATTAATTTATATATATTTTAATTTTTTTTTTAAGAAATGTTGATATTCAACCTTACAACCGACTAATCTAAGAAGGACCAATTTTAGGGTCGAATCCAAAAGAGACCAATCTTTATTACAAAGTAAATGAGAAATGTAGCGTGTTGATAAGGTTTGGTATTTGGATCCAAAAGGTCACGTGTATAACCCATTTTAAATTTTGATATTTAACCTAAAAGGTAGAGTTTTTCAAATTTCTTCCAAATAACATACGGTAAAATAGCTATTACCCTTTTCTTTTTTTCACGCTTTTTCAATTTCATTTTAATTTTTAATTTATTTATTTATTATCACTAAAACTACTAATAATTCATTTTTTAATTTTTAATAAAATTAAAAATTTATTTATCTCACGTGTCACTATCAACATAATATCTATTTTATTTTAATCAATCATTATTTTAATGTGAGAGATAAAATCTTTTTTTTTAAATATTAATTTTTTTCTTTCTCCATCTTATGATTTCTTTTTTTTATATATAATTATTTAATACAATTTAGCTTATATGATTATTGTTCATTTTACAATTAAGTATATCATTTTAAATTTTACATTTATATCTAAATATATTTTATATCGCATTAAAATTTTTTTTTTATCTTACCAGTCATTATCGTATTAAAATTTTCTTTTTTATTTTTTTTTTCATCTCACAAATTTTTTTTTTTCCTTTTTGCATGATTATTTAAAACAATTGAGATTGTATAATTATTTTTCAATTTACAATTAAATAATTTATTTCAAATTTATATGTGTATAAATACATTTTATATTATATCAAATAAACTTTCTATTTTATAGATCACTATAAATACAAGAAATATTTTATTTTAATCAATAATTACCTTAATTTAAAAGATAAAATTCTTATTTTCAAACATTAATTTTTTTATCTAACGAATTTTTTTTCTCTTTATATTTTTAATAAAGTTGAATTTATATAATCATTGTTTATTTTAAAATTAATAGTTAATTCCAAATTTAAATACAAATTTAAATATATTTTATAACGTACTAAATTTATATATATATATATATATATATATATATATATATATATATATATATATATATATATATATATATATATATATATATATATATATATATATATATATATATATATATATATATATATATATATATATATATATATATATATATATATATATATATATATATATATATATATATATATATATTTTAATTTTACTCAAGAGCAGGTGTATCTTATTGGTGAGTATAATTTTACTCGAGAGCACGTGTATTTTATTGGTGAGTATAAAATTCTTTCATTTCAATTTTTCTCCCTCAGCAACTAAGCGTACTCCCTCTTCTTTTGACCTAACACCTAACGCTGCCGCCGTCACCACCATTTTCCCGTTTTCCGGCCACCTTACTCTGTCGTATTTTTTTTATATTCGGTATGCATTATATAGGGTGTCATAGAATATTTTAAAAAATCCAACAGGCTTTTTGTTTTGTTTTTTTTCAATTACTAAAGGGTTAAAATTGTAATATTTAAAATTATAGGGTGTGGGGCAGCTGGTATGGTGCAAAGCAAAAGAAAATTCAATTTGGCTTTAAGTTGCACCAACTAACTGATCTGAAAACGGGACTATCTAAAAAGAAAATGCAGCAAAGAAAATCATCATTAGGAAGGCCTTCTGGAACCGATGGTTCTGATTATTCCTACCGTATGGTCGTTGATTCAAGTCAGTTCCACTCTCCAAAACCCTAATCCTTTTCTGTAAAATGTGCTTAATTGATTTCTCTTGCTTGTTTTTTATTTTATTTTTTAACTATAGCTGTTTTGGTTTATGTTCTTACTCTTCTTTGTCATTTTGATGTTTTGTTAACTAGGGTATCAACTTGTTGCAAAGGGAAAGAATCGCCTCTCTGTGCTATTTATCATTGAGGTACCATGGATTTTATTTGTTGGAGTACTTTAGACATTTTTTTAGTGTAAATGCGAAATGCAGTTGTGCTTTATTAGTAGAGTAAATATCAATTTATTTATAGAAAAGGAGTATATACGTTGTTGATTCCAACCGAAAACGCAGATCCCTGTTCAGGCTTGAATGAATGAAAAATATAAATGTATTCTTTTAAGAATTTGAAATGGATTGATGGAACATAACGGAGCGGAGCAGAACATAGCGGGGCAGAATGAAATATACATCCACTCTATTGTTTGGTTATTTTTTATTAAAAATATCTCATTTCATCCCTACATCCCAAATTGGATGGAATAATAAATGAGGATTTGGATGGAATGGGATTCCATCGTGCTCTATTTCATTCTATCAATTATTTGTAAATCCAAACATTGGAATCACATTAGTTACCATTCTATTTTATCCCATTCCACCAATCCAAATATAGCCTAAATAGGACTAAAACGTTCATAAGATTATGTTTGGATCGGTGATATTAGATGGAAAGGAATGAAATGAAATTGTAATGGATTCTATTGTTTGAATTTGCCAATAATGGATGAAGTGGAATGTAATATAGCGGACTCTATTCCCATTCCATCACAAAATAGCCAAACAATGGAGTGGAATCTTTGTTCTATTCCATTCAGCTCCATTCCATTTTGTTCCATCAATTCAAACATAACTTAAAAGTTATATTTAAAAGGACTAATTTTATCCTTATTTAAGATGTTTTTTAGGACCAAATTGATATTTTTCATTTTTCAAGGACCATGTAGCCTAGGGTTTTTTTTTCCTTTCTTTTCTCGAAGACTAATTTTGATATTTACTCTTATTAGTATAAGCATGTTTCAGAGGCAATAAAGATACACCTTTGAGTTGTGAAAACATGATTTAGAGACACGTTTTTATTTAGAGAAGACTTCTAACTAAAATTTCTGGACATGACGGGTCTTTGATGTTTCATTCGGTATCTCCCTTGCAAAAAAATTGTACTCCCTCCGTTACTTTTTAAGTGTCACTTTCTTGATAATTTTTTGTTCCTTTTAATTGTCATTTGCAAAGTTAAAGGTAGCATTAATGGTACTTTTGTCAAAATTACCCTTTGATATTTATTACAAAGAGAAAAATGAAATAAATGTAATAAAAAGACTAAAAGTCAGCGTGCTAAGTAAACACATATGCTAAAATTAGAAAAATATGCAAAATTTAAGAGACTTTCATACTTAGTAATTAAAAGTAATTAAAGAACCTGATATTGAACCGCTACACCTGCTATTGTTGATGGCAGTTTGCGGGTCAAAGCGCCACACCAAACTCTACCACCATCCACCGCCATGCAATTCCGCTATTGCGCACAATTGACACCATAGGTTCATAGCCATGTAATAGTATTATTTTTAACATTTAGAACTTATTAAGACAACTACTGATGCTATTTATTTTGTTTACTGCCATCTTTAATTTTGTCTGATATAGATTTGGAATTTTAAATTGTGCCTTGCAGGCTTTGTTTCTGTTAATAGGAGTGGTGTTTGCAGTTTTACCAGGAAAAAAGGACGACACAACAAATATAGTTGCCATTTCTTCTGTTATTGCTAGTGTTATTTTGTTGATCATTGGTGATTTAGGTTGCTAAAAATGGAGTTCTTTACTCTCCTTTATTATTATTTTATTGAGTTTTTATATAACTTTTTAAATGACCTATCTCTTCCAATTTTGTGAGACAGGTAGAAGACGAAGCCGGTCGAGTCTGTTGAGATTATATGCCATTCTATCTTCCTTAGCACTGCTTCTCTTCACTGCTTCTCTTGCCCACGAGTATTCCCTGCTGAAGGTAAATGTCAATATTTCACGAAAGTTTTATAAGAAAAAGCTTTATAAATTTTCATGAGAAACTTGAATAAGAAAGCATCAGAAATGAATTTCCTGAATGATTTTTTTTTGAGTTTTATGATTCTTTTTCTAAAGTGTTCCTTGCATTTCAAACAACCCGAATCCCACAAAGGCTCAGCTGATGAAGAATAAACCTGCAGTCGTAGTACAGGCGAATGCCTATAGTGGCACAGCAAAGTGGCCAATGGCCACCACTGGAAGCCTATAGTGGTGCTGGTTTTTGCGGTGGCGGTAGTATCAACTACAGTGGCCCAAATCACAGCTATTAGCTGTTGTAATGACTGCTAAATGCTTATAAAAAAAACCTTGTTTTAATAGTCATTCTTTTGGATTTGAATTTTATGGCTCAGTCTTTTTGACTTTTTGTTACATAAGATTTATTGTTGATAATTGTTTTTCTGCTTAGAAATTCCCATATGATTGTATAAAAACTCTTCTGTAGATTATCCAGTATTATAGAAATCGGGGAACAAGCAGTTTTGATGTTGATTTTCTTGCTCTTCAAATTGGTAAATATTTCTTTTCAAATTCTAAATATTTTGTTCATATATGAATTTCTGTTATAATTCGATAATTTGTGTAATAACTCGGCTTTGCGCCTTACAGGTTTGTTGGTATATATACTCACTTTATCAGTGTTCAAGATTATTATCATCAAAGCAGTTGTTTTCCTTCTTTTTAACATGACGCCTCCCAAGAAAACCTCATAGCCTCATAGCCTCATTGATTTTCTTTTCAATTGATCCGTATGAGTGTATCTTTTTGAGTGATTGAGGGTATCTGACTTAAGCTTATGTAGATTTTTCCCTGCAAATCGCCTTAACGACATTAGCTGTGTTTAAGCAAATTGTTGTTTTTGTATTTGGGCTATCATCTAACTTGAATGAGGTTTGTGTATTTTTGTAATTCGTGAAAATATATATGGTTACAAAGAAGTAGGTGGAATATAAATACACATATATCAGAAATTTAGGTGTTCAAATGACACACCTCTTAATATTTATGTAGTTGACCTTAGTTTGTTTGCGGCCGACTGCATGTATTAAATAAAACACACAATTGATGATCTGATTTGGTAAATAACTCTCTTAAAAGTAATGTAAAAAACCATAAGAAAATCTTTGAGATATCTGAGAGACCAAAAAAAACACTATACAATGCAACGATAGGTATCCTATCCAAAACCCTTATAATTTTTCCTTTGGAAGGGGCTGCACAAAAGGTTTCTTCCCTTTTATTCCTTTTGGAATTGAGTATCTTGTTGACTTATTACCTTTTGGATCATAACAAAACCCATTTGCATAGCAATAAGATTCCTTTACATCTTCTCCACCTTGAGAAAGATTCATGTTTGCATTCACTTTCCCTTCATTCTCGTATATTTTGCATTCAGGATGTTTACGCTTCAGTTTCTTCACATCTTTACATGAGATTACAATATACTTGTGACCAAGCAACAAATGATCTTCTGGTAGCAACAGTGACTGATGAGGATATTTGAAGACTTGTGGTAGAGCAACACACATCCCAGGATATTTTGCCATGAGCTTGGATGCAGGAAATGTATGTTCATACACTTCTTGTTTTCCACCCTTAAGAATTGTCCTCACGACAGAATCCTTAGGGGGTGCTTTGGTTCCTTTGATTCCTTTTGGATTTTCTTCAGTGTGCTTCACTAGGCCTAAGAAATGAACAGCACACTTCAGCATAGCCTCTATCGAAAAATTAGACAGGAATGAGCTAGTTTGAGGAAAGTTGAATAGTGTTTAAGCACTATATATAATGTAGATTATATTTGTTTTCTTTTTGCCAGCCGTGTATGACTTGATATTTTCACCTCATAAGATGAAACCAAAGCTTCGCGTATTCTGACAAAGTAAATGACTAAGGATTCAATTGCTCTTGTTTCAGTCTACCTAGAATGAGAACAAAGGTTTTCCTTGATAAGATCATAAGGTCTCCAATCTGAAATTGAATCCCATGCAATCGAAAAAAAAAAGTCACATTCACACTGTTAGAACATTATCAACGGCTGAATTTTGATGGTATGGTTTTAAAAAAAACATTATATAATAAACTGTGTTGTGAAAATGTCTGAGTAATGTCTGTCTAAGTTATGTAACTCTTTGTCAAATGTTAATTTATGTTCATCACGCAACAACAGAAGTGTCAAAAATATTATATAATAAACTGTGTTATGAAAATGTTTGAGTAATATCACACATTATATGCAAATAATATAAAAATGATAATAAGGTCTGTAGATGTTTTTGATTGGCTGCATTTTGTGGTAAAACATTGTTATGTGTGTAGATGTCTTGACTGATGTCATGACATACTTGTGTAGTGGTATGCAGGATATGTTTGGTTAGATAACACAGTTTATTGGATGTCACACTGAATGTTGTGACATCAGGTATCTGCCAGCATGGGCGTTGGTTTGTTTTCTGTTAGGTTTCCTACTTTATCTCAGACTATAGTTTAGGAAATGCCTGAGGCCTATTTTGTAGCACCTTGAATTGTGGAAATTGGATTAACTTAGTTAAACCTAATTTATGCTACCTAGGCCCAAGGCCCATGCGCTGCATATAAAGAAGAGTGGCAATCCTCACTAAAGACTCAGAGATTTTAGGATGAAGAATTATGTTTGTGTGTTTGTATCTTCACGTGTGTTTTTGTCTTAGGTTTTCTTGTGAGCCAAGCAATTATCACCTTGATGATTGTATTTGACTAGTGTGGTTTTTGAGTGGTGTTTTGGTTGTGTCACTCTAAGCCTTTAAGAAAGAGTGTTATGTATCTTGATTGAAGCTTTTAAGCAAGACCAAGATTTGTTTAAAGTGTGTCTTCCTTTTTGAATCTGTTTGTATTTGATTGATATCACTGTTGTGATTGATGGGGAGTGAGTAGGAACTCAGGTCTAAAGTTAGATTGAAATTGCATTGGGTAGGTCTTAAGTGAGGAGTTGTAAACTGGTTGTTTAGCCTTGAATTAACACTGCTTATAGTGGATTTCCTCCCTGGCTTGGTAGCCCCCAGAGTAGGTGTGATTTGCACCGAACTGGGTAAACAATTTCCTGTGTTCTTTACTGGTTTCCTTACTCGTTTACTGCTAAGCTTAATAATCTGTTTAGAAGCGGATGTCATAACATCCGACATAACATCGATTGTCTATTACTAGAATTTCAATTGGCATCAGAGCAGGCACCTTGCCTGTTATTTTCTGGGTGAGATCTAGGGACGATATATTCTGGTACTATGGACAAGGATGTAGGGTTTGCGAATAGACCACCTATTCTGGATGGATCTAACTATGACTACTGGAAACCTCGGATGATAGCATTTTTGAAATCTCTGGATAGCAAGGCCTGGAGAGCAGCTAACTCAGGATGGGAACATCTAGTGAAGACAGAGAAAGACGGATCAACTGTGTTAATACTTGAAGAAGAGTGGAGTAAAGATCAAGAAGCTTTGACTCTTAGAAATTCTAAGGCCTTGAAGACTCTATTCAATGGGATAGATAAGAATATCTTCAGACTTGTGCATCACTGTGAATTGGACAAAGAAGTTTGGGATACTCTCAAAACGACTCATGAAGGTACCTCCAAGGTCAAGATGTCTAGACTACAGATGCTGACTACTAAGTTTGAGAATCTAAGGATGAAAGAGGATGAGACCATTCATGATTTCTACATGAGTATTCTTGAGATTGCCAATACCTCAGGAGCCTTAGGAGAGAAAATGTCTGAAGAAAAACTTGTAAGAAAGATTCTCAGATCATTGCCCAAAAGATTTGCCATGAAGGTTACTGCGATAAAAGAGGCTCAAGATATCAGCAACATGAAGGTTGATGAACTCATTGGTTCCCTCCAAACCTTTGAGATGGGAATGTGTGAAAATGCTGAAAAGAAGAACAAAAGCATAGCTTTTGTATTAAACACTGAAAAGGACTCAGATGAAGGCAATGGTAGAAGTAAGGAAAATCTATCAGAAGCTATAGCTATGCTTGGAAGACAATTCAACAGATTGATAAGAAGAATAGATTAGAAGGCCAGACATAATGTCAAGAACATCCACTCTGACACCAGCAGAAGAGTTGCATCTGAAAAAAAGTCCAACCAAGGCAAAGGAATTCAGTGCCATGGATGTGAAGGCTATGGTCACATTAGAGCTGAATGTCCCACTTACCTCAGGAAGCAAAAGAAGGGTCTATCTGTCACCTGGTCTAATGGAGATTCTGAGAGTGGATCAGAAGAAGAATCTACAGAACATGTCACTGCACTAACTAGTGTATGTGTATCTGATGATGATTCTAGTGAAGATGAGCTGACTTTTGATAAACTTGCAGCCTCATATAAAAAGTTGTGTATCAGAAGTGCAGAAGTGTGCCAACAAGGGGAGAAGCAAAAGAAACTCATAAAGGAGTTGGAGGCTAGAAGAAAGAGCATCTTGCAACCATAGACTCACTCAACAGTGAGGTCATTTTGTTGAATTCCAAACTTGATCAGATGTCAAAGTCTATCAGAATGTTAAACAATGGAACTGACACTCTAGAAGAAATTCTACAAGTTGGTCAGAAAGCAAGAGACATGTATGGAATAGGTTTTGTTGGTGAACAGGGACCCACCTTGGGGCTCAAAAGGTCAAAACCTGAAGATCATTTGACAAACCGGATGTTAAGACCGATGTCTCAACATCATGGGAACAGAGGCATAAACTAGACAAAGAGAAAGTCCCAAAGGTGGAGATGTCACTACTATGGAAGATTTGGACACATAAAGCCTTTTTGCTTCAAGCTGTATGGATTTCCCAGCCATACTCATCAAGCCAAACGCAAACAGGATACTCTTATCAAGAAACAACAATGGGTTGCTAAGGATGTTGCTCTAATAGCTCATACCCTTCTAAGGGTATCAGCCAAAGAAGACTGGTATTTTGATAGTGGTTGTTCAAAACATATGACTGGAATAAAGAACTTATTGGTGGACATCAAACCTCATTCCACTAGTTATGTGACCTTTGGTGATGGAGCTAAAGGGGAAATCAAAGGTGTTGGAAAACTAGACTGTCTTGGAGTTCCAGACCTAGATAATGTTTTGCTGGTGAAAGGACTGACTACAAACCTTATTAGTATCAGTCATCTATGTGATAAAGGATTCAATGTCAGATTCACTAAACAAGAATGTGTTGTCACCAATGGAGAAAATGAGGAAGTCATGAGGGGATCTAGATCTAAAGACAATTGCTACTTATGGGAGCCTAAAGTCTCAAATAACTCCATTGTTTGTTCTATGGCCAAAGAAGAAAAGGAGGTTAAATTGTGGCATCGAAAACTTGGACATTTTCATCTAAGAGAGATGAAAAAGATCATATCCAAGGAAGCAGTGAGAGGAATTCCAAAGCTAACAATTGATGAAAGAAAAGTCTGTGGTGAAGGTCAGGTTGTCAATGTCACTCAGGATGTCATGACATTATATTGTAACCCAATTCAGCCTAGCAGAACCAAGGACATTGATATCAAACATCACTCCATAAGAAATCTTGTGGAAGACAAAGTGATTACTCTAGAGTATGTGGCCGCTGAACTACAACTTGCTGACAGTTTTACAAAAGCTCTAGATGCTACACAATTTGAGAATTTCAGAAGCAAGTTGGGAATTTGTCTCTATGAGGAATTATAGCAATTAATGTTATTTGGGAAAACACATAGAATGAGGGGGGGGGGGGGGGGTTGAATAAGGGTTTAGAAATAAATATGGCAATAAAAACACAATGATTTTTATCCTGGTTCGTTGAACTCAACTAATCCAGTCCACCCTATCAAGAGTGATTTGCCTTTCTCCTTAAGGACTTAATCCACTATAATCAAACAGATTACAATGTCAACCACTAAGAACAACTGTCTTAGTCTTCTCAATAACTACTGACCACAACTTGGTCTTCTTAAGGAACCTTTACAAATAAATGTAAACTAACAAGTGTGTTTGATGCTTCTAAAAAGCTATATCACAAACTGTGATTTTTACACTTAAGATTAAGAACGAATAAGAAAAACTATTTCAACTTTGAATGATTGTATGAGAGTGTGATTCGTTGGTAGTTTGTTAGCTTTGAAGAGATGTTGAAGACGTCCTTTTATAGTGCAGAGAGTCCAATGCTTGAAGACTGTGCAAGTAGAGTAGCTGTAGCCTTTTGTCTTCACATGAATTTTCCTTTCTCAGAAGTAGAATGTTCAGAGAAATTCCTTTTGCCTGAATCATTGTGTCTATCACAAATAAGGAATAGTTCCGTTGGAGAGGATGTTGAAAATAGTACCAAGTCTATTCACGTGCTGACATCTTTTCAAATGTAAACAACATCAGATCCTCTAATGTGCTTCTTGTTCTTCAGATCAGATTCAATGTTATCAGAGTTGCAGCTATAGTGCTTTAGTGTGAGTGATCTGATCAGAGCATGACAGTTTATCAGAGCCTCTGTACTTGCAGCGTAAAGTACATTCAGAGTCTTCTAAAACAATGCTTGAAACTCTTCATACAACATCTTCAGCTACGCTTCAGATGCTTCTGCAGCTTCTGCTTTAGAGTCTTCTGCAATTTCTGCTTCAGAGTCTTTTGGAAGCGCTCAGAGTCTTCTGATGGCTTGCATCTGATGCTTCAGAGCTTTGCGTAACTTGCTATTCAGATGCATTTTGCTTCCATAATGATATTTAATTT